TGTCTGTGACTGTAAAATCACAAACTGTCTCAGTAAAGACTGTCTGCAAAAGCCTGTTTTTTAGGCATAAAAGAAATGGCATAAAGACTGTGACAGGAGCAGGTAGAGTGTGTGCTCATGGGTACACATGCAGGGGGGAAATAGTAGATCACAAGGGAATGGGTATTGTGATGAACAATTGTCCCAGACTCTAAGTATGTAAAAGGAGAAAACACGAATTCCTATGCTGTGTCATTATTTTTGTAAGCTTTTAAGTAAACAAAAATGTACAAAATCCACAGTTTCACTGGACTTTTTAAATGCAAAAGTGACCGTTCGTTCCCAAAATCAGCACTCATAAAATAATATTTTCTCCCTGAACTTTGCTGGCAAAATTTATGTCCCCAGAGAGAATTCAAGGAAGCAAACACAGCAACATTAGTATCATGTCTCTTTAGAAAGTCTGGAACAAGCAAAATGCATGTCTTGCAAAAAATAAACAAACAAACCCATGAAACCCACCATGTTTTACACAAACAGCTCTCAGCACCACAGAATGAAATCTTTTAGCAGAATGTTTAAGGCAAATTCGGGGATTTGTAGCGGGAATTTCATTCTTTTAAGTTCTCTAGGGTTTGGACGTAATGATAAAATCAGGAGGCAGAAATGTGAATGAATTAATGGGTTTGACAAATAGCTGCAGTCTCTATTCCATTTGTGATTGATTATTCCTAACCAGATACGTACATTCATCCCATCCATTCCTACCTCCCCCTTGAGAAGTGTTTAGTATACGTATGAAAATGAAAACCAAAAAGAAGTACTTCAGGCTGCCTGGCATTGTTTGAGCCCTTCGGAATGAGAGGCTGCCTCTGCTATGGAGTGTTAGCTTTTGAGAGCAATTGAGCACCAAGTGACAGCCTTAATTTTTAATTTCTTTGCCTTTGTAGGTTTAAGACAGATTCCCACCAGACATCTGTGTTAATGAAGCACTAAGTACATTATATAATTATAAGGTTCTGGATATAATTGTTGTGTATGTTGCATAATTTAAGTTCCAACTGTACTTGCATCTCTCATTTACCAAGCCAATGAAGGATATAATAATACTGAAAACAATAACAGCTCAGTGCTTCTATGGTGCAGTCATGGGGGGCTGCACTTACTGAGTTTGTCTGTGATTCTTATAAGGAGATCCTGGCTGATAAAATCACAGTAGCTAAAGGTTAAGGTTATCTGTAAGATGAGTCTTTCCCTTGCAAATCTGGATATAATGCCCTGAGCAAGGAAATACCCGATACTAAACGTGTATTCGGGGTCTGGAGACCTGCCAATTTTTGCAGAGTGAGATCTCAGACATACAGTGCATTGTGGCAGGGGAGAACAGGGCTGCTCTTGGGTATAAAAAGGAGCTCACTGTCTTGTTTTGTCTGTTTGTAAAGTGGTTGGACATCAGCAGAGACTCATGAGTCTGAGGAGACAAGGGCTTGGATAAGGTAGTTCTTTTGGTGGTAGGATCTTGCATACCTGTTAGGCTTTACACATGCCAGGCAAGGGTAACTATTTGCAGTATTCTAAGGGGTTTCTTATTTATTAGTTGACTGTGGCTTCCTGGCCATAGAGGTTACTAGAACTTTAAAATTTATTTCTGCTCCATGGTGGAAATGCAGTGAAATATTTTTGATGATTTTTGCAAAAGTATGATTCTATCAAATATTCATTGGTAAAAGCTGAGCGTTTTCTGATTAAGGAATTCTTGGTAGGATATGGGATATGCATATGGTAGACTTAAAGTTTCCATGTTTTTCATTCCAATTGTTATGAAAAGGGTGGAGCACGGATTTGAGCTGGGGCTCCTTGCCTTCAAATTACTGAGATTCTGCAGATATTGCTTAACCCGCCCCCCATTTTGATATCAAGTTGCCACAACAAAATGCAGCCTTCATGAAGCAATAGTTTTAGCCAAAATTTGTTTAACTGAAGTCCTATTCTGTCTTTACAGCTTGCTAGTTTTTCCATCTCACTCTTATCACAAGATGCATTGTGCACTTAAACAAAGCAGAGTGAAGCGTATGACCTTATCCATAGGCTCAATTCTCCAGCTATCTGGTGCACTTCACCACCACGGTAGTGTTTGTAACAGTATATACATGGCCCGTTTGCAAGGCAGATTCTGTGGTCTTTTCTTTTTCTTTCCCTCTGCCAAAAGGGAGATTGATAAATCCCTCCTGTAATCTAGCAATGGAAAAATAAATAACAAGAAGTAACCCTCAGCTTAGATTTTCTGGCAGAGGAGGTTTAGGGTGGTAATAAACTGTTCTTTTACTTGAAATCACAGATGTACTCAGCTGGGGTACGAGGTCCTTTAGCTAGCGCCCAAACAAAAGTAGTCAACTTTTCTTTCCATTCATACTCTTGTAGCTTTTATTGCAGAGATATTGCTCCAAGACTCGTCAGCAGCAGCCTGCAATCAGACTTACCAAACACAATCTCTGAATGCTGCTACTAGAGTAATTTTGCTTGACAGTTATTCTTGCCACTACAACGCTTCCCCACAAGCTCCTTGTTTTCCACCAGCTCAAATTCAGCGTCCCATTTTATTATGTACTTTACACATCATTTTGTCCAGGTCTGCACTAGTAGTTAGTTATGGAAAGGTAAAGTAATAAAAAAATATGAAGTACCATTAGGTACGACAAGGTTCATCAGAACATACATATTTGTTTAAAAATGAGTGTAGTTTATTTTAATACTTTGTATGAAAGTTATTGAATTCACTGCATCAGTGAAAATACGGGGCTTCCCTTTGAGCAACGAGAGAGAGCAGTACGTGAATGAAACTCATCCTGAACGGAATGGACCGACCTCAGTTATGTTTGGGCTGACTTAAGTTTATGTCAAGACCAAATGTTCTTACTCCTCATTGTTACTTGAGCTGGAGGTGCTTGTGCTAGGAGAGTAGTGAGTCTGCCTCTGTTTTGTTGGAAAGAATTAACATCAATACTTTTTGTGCTTTAACCTAGGTTTTCTTTTTTTAAAACCTGTGAGGTTCTGAGTTTCAGTTTTTTAAGATCTAAGGAAAACTTGAGAATTGGAGAATGTGTGTGTGCAAACAAGACAATTTTGTATGAATTCTGTGAGAAATCTTTATCCTAACTTGATTTTAGTAAAGACTAGTTGAAGTTTAGAGTTTCTGATGAAACCTCAAGCCATACAAGTTTCACATAACTTCAGACTAACAGGTATTTAGGTATCTTCATTAATCAACCTAAGGAGTTAATATATATTTAAATCTATATGCCCACCACTCTTTGCTTAATTTGAGTGTTACAAATTTAAATCAAACCTAAAAAGCTGCAGGTGTTTGTTTAAATCTGCCAAGTGATCCTTCATGAAAAGAAAGTGTGATTTTTGTCTCCTGTCCAGAGTCACTTTGGACAAGAGCCTGTTACATTGCATGGCACAGCACTGTTTCCCCTTAGTGTTTCTGTTACAGTAGCAGCAAACTGAGATAGACACTTTTGTGCTAAGCAGTGTACAAATATCCACAGGCATACTGTGTGGAAGAAAGTAAGTCTCTTTCCTGTTTTGCTGATGGGGCAAAAGTGAATTGCTAAAGGGTATACAGTACATTTGTGGCAGAATTCAGATTGCTCAAATCCCTCCAGTACTTTAGCTACACACCATCCCTTCCCCTTAATTTTTGTAAGGTAGAAGTAGCTCACTTAACATGTCCTATGTAGACTAAATGCAAACACACAGTAACAGCTTATGATTTAATTTCCTTGTTTGTATGTCTGTGATGACTTTAGTGTGATTAAACATTTCTAAGACACAACACAATTGTCCTTGTCCCTTCCAAATGGGATGAGCGAAAGGATCCTCTGAATAATCAGTTCCATTCCACATTCTTGCCTTATGTAGAATTTGTATTACTCAAATTCTGCTTTAGCTGCAGACCACCTTTCTTTCTTAATTTTGATAAGACATCTCTCAGCTTGATTACAGTTATTTTTTCAGAAGACAAGTGAGAAGGAGGGAACATCAACTCTGTGGAGATGGTGCCTTCTCTAAGTTCAAACAGTGCCTCTCAAGGGCATGGTGAAGAAAGAAAAGCTCACACAAAGAAAAACAAAGCAGGGTCCCATGCTTCCCTCTTGAAGAGTCAGTAACAACTGTCTCACCTTGAAAGGTTCCCACCACTGACATAAGGCTGCAATCTGCAGGGTTGCTATTATTTGAGTAAATCATCTGACCTCCAAATGTTTCGCTCTTAGGAGATAAGGAGGAAATTTTACGGTTGGACTGGAATATCTTACTTTAGGAGCCTCTTTAGGAAAATTTTATTGGCCAATGGCAGCTACATGCCTTCTAAGTTTTAATGCAGCCACTTTACTATTTGGTACAGTGGGAAATTCTTTGTCCTTGAAGTGCAGTGAGAAAGCTGCACTTATTCCAGTTACATTTACAGCTAAATTATCAAGTGAAGTGCAGAAATATGAATAAACAATTCTCTTATTTGAAAATTGGTTACTGGAGGTCAGTTCTACATTTCCAAAGGGTTATCAATCCTTTGAGTTCTTTTCTGAGAGATTATTCTTAAGGGAAATACTTTAATGCATGTATGTCCTTTCAGAACATCCAGTGGTGTGTTGCGGACTTGAATGCCTTAGGCATTACCCAGTGAAGGAGTGGTAATTCGAATCTTTTGAGGCAAATCTTACTCATTTAAACATGAACTGTTTAAATTTTAGAGATTGTAACATCTGTCCTCCCTTCTTATCAGACATTGCTTGGTTTTGCTAAATTTCAGACACAGCAGGAGTCTACCTTGTTATGCTCTGGTGATTTTAACTGCAGAATTCTGACAGTCCTCACTATTGTACCAAGAGCAAGCTCGTATGGTTAGCAGTGTTGCTCAGGGGTTGCAGGATCAAGCTTTGTATATGAATGGCGTATTTGGGAAGCTGTGATTATTTGAAAGCTTTAAGAGAATTTTTGTTATCTTCTTGTCCTTGCAGTGGCCAGTTTGCTATAGTGAAGAAATGCCGAGAAAAAAGCACTGGTATGGAGTATGCTGCTAAGTTCATTAAAAAACGTCAGAGTCGGGCCAGCCGTCGTGGAGTGAGACGTGAGGAAATTGAACGGGAGGTTACTATTCTGCAGCAGGTTCTGCATGCCAACATCATCAAGTTGCATGACATCTATGAGAACAAGACGGATGTGGTCCTCATCCTTGAGCTGTGAGTAAGGGGGCTTCCTATTCTCCAGGGTAGGATGAGGTAAATAGGAACCGGAAAGGGCTGCAGAGGCTGCCAGAACATAGAGGCACTGTTAAAATGGAGCTGTTGTGTTCTCAGGCCTTGCAGATCTTGGCAGGAGAACTGAATGAGGTTGCTGGTAAACAGCCCCCCACCCCCCTTCATCCGCATGCCCTGGGGATACAGGTGCACCTTAACATCAGCCGAGGCCATTGTTACTGAGCCAGGGAGTGTTGTCAATTTGAAAACAGTTTACTGACAGGGGGATTACCTCATGTCTGCTTGGTGCTGCCCTGACACAAACCTTGGAGGAAGCACAAATGGCCACTGGATGCTCATTTCATTTTTCTGTCTGCTTTCATCTCTTCCAATGCATGTGAAGCCACCAAGTCCTTTGCAAAGTTTGCAGCCATTCTCACTACTCCCATATTTCCCTCATTTAGAGGAGGCTAGGGGAAAAGATGGGATGAGGGCAAGGGAAGAGTTTTTTTTAATCCCTAGACTTTGACTATCGAGGATGAATAGCAGCGGAGTGGGAGTGAAGGAGAGCTGCTCACTCTTCTCTTGTTCCCCTATGTGATGGGGGAAAGCCCCTGCCGTTTACGTCCTGCTGACAAGTGAACACCCCTCAACCAGGGGATCTGTGGACTGCTGTAGCCTCATCCCTGCATTGTGACCCATTGGATAGCCTGGCTACTGGTTTAGGATGACTATCAGACATATTTGGCTATGAAATGCAAACTGGTTTGTGCTGTTTAAGAAGAGATTTAAGACCAGCTAGCAGCAGCTTCTCTGTCTAGGCTCAGGGGACAATGGGTTATTCTGCAGAACCTGTGCATGTCCCTGCCTGGAAGAATAAATGCACAGCCCAGGGAAGCTGGAGGTGTGGTCAGGAATCATCTTAACAAAGCCTTGGCTAAGGAGCCTTTGCTTAGTTGGAACATGAGTTTGCATTTTGGGGAGTCACCTTTGATGCTTTTGTCTGTATTTAATCTTATTGACTGAAAGGAAGTGAGAGAACCTGGCTAATAGGTGTTACTATGTAGAGAAATGGCAGTTTATTAGAATTTGAAGCAATATCAAAATTGCCAGTCTCTGCAATAGCTATTAAATTACCTGCATGAATTCTGTTTGGTTGGTTGTTTCATCAGCCTAGAAATACTACATCCCAAAGACATCAGCTATTTCTTACACCCTGTTGCCCTTCCTGTATGTTTGATGGAACTGAGGTGAAACATTTGAGACAGATGCAGACCACAGGTTAATAATGTAATCTCTTATAACACAACTTGTTTTGAACGCGTTCTGCCTGTTTCTACTGCCTGGCTTGAGATTCTTAAATCTCAAGACAGACATGCCTGACCATGTTTTGGAAAGCTGTCATATCATTTTAACAGTGTTTCAAAGTCATTATGTTTTGGGGATTGCATGCAGGGGTTGGTTATGTGATGTTAATCTGAAATGTGTGTGGAGGGTAAAGTTTACACAGTCACTTCAATGCTGACACTAATGTATGTGTGATGGAATTTCTTCACTTTTGTAAAACATAATGTGATGTAGAAGGACCCTAACAATAAAGAGGAATAGGAGGATGATTTTATAAAGAGGAAATACCTCTTTCCAGCCTGGCCAGGAGAGCTTTGCCCTGTGTAGACAGCATTTTTGCCTTCTGACCTGGCAACCCAATATGAGTCAAAATGGCATTGGAAGAGTGATTCTTGTTCATGTGACTTCAGCTTATATTGGAGGTATTGTGAGAATGGACTAGTGATATCCCAAAAGGACGAAGAGTTGCTTTGGCAGAGCTAGAACAGGAGACATAAACCAGTTGCAGCAGTTTTCAGGATTACTAGTGTACAATACCAAGGGAAGATTATTAGACTAAGTAACTGATCTATCAGATAGACTGAACATACAGAAGTGTTAGATGCTACAGAAAATTGTCATCACTCTAGGTAGGTCACAAAATTAATTTCACCTTCCTCTGGTCGCGCCAGGGATGCAGATTCTTTGCTGTGAAGTCAGGAGGGGAACTAAGTTGCCTGCTGCTGTTTGGCTTTCTGTTCTTAGTACTATTTGCCAGCCATTCTGATGCATATTAGATTTGACCTGTAGCCGCTGGGAGGTCACAGAAAGATCACTTGCTCCTCTGCAGTGCACCTGCAGTTGAGTGCTATAGAACATTTGGATGTCCCCAAATTTAATAGTGTTACTGTTGTTGTGTTAGTTTGAAAAATTTGCAGTTGCCTAATGTCAATTACTGAGTAAAAAAAAAAAAAATCTGCCATGATAAAATTATATCACTTTTTAAAGAAATTAAAAAGGGGAGACACCAAGTGATTGGGTCTGTTTATACCCAAACTTATACTGGGAGAATGAATTTGGATGAAACTTGGCACTTGACTTGTTGCCATTCCAGGTGTTTCATGGCTCAGGATCAGGACTGTAATAGAAGTGAGTGAGTCTGTGTGCACAGACGATCATATAGACCTATGTCCAAAGCATCGCCTTCTGTACAGTTCATAGTGTGTGCTGTTGGTCTGCTTTAAGGAATTGAAAGGCATGTAAATTATCTTAATGCATGTGAAATTTATATCTATGTGCATTTGTGTGGCTCAGCCTTCCTAATCTCCACTGAGAACCAGGGGAAACCTGAACACTGTCACACAAAGCAGAGAGTAGAATTGCATGCTTGTACTCATCAGAGCCAGGAATGGAAGTAGCTCTTCTAATAAATAGAGCTTTGCTGGTCAGAATGTATGGTGATGGCCTAAGGGGATGAAATTTGTCATGCAGTGAAGGAAAACAGACATCAATTCAAGCTTTTTTTGGGCTGTGTCCTGCTCTTTTGTGGCATCAATATCATCTAGTTGACAAAGCTCTGAGTCTTACAGGAGCTGTGCAGAAGATGACATATCCTTTATCTGTCAATTCATGATACTAAGGTAAAGCTGTAAGCAAGGAGACAGCCTGAGGTCTTCTGCTTACTACAACTTTTAGGTAATGAGTAAATGATGCAATTTTTCTGTGTGTATGAATCAGGAAATACAGAGACACCGTGGCTGAAGTTATGTAGACCATATGTTCCCTAGGGCACCTGCCTCGACCCTGTGTATGGAATCCAGGCAATGAAGCTTTGATCCCTGAGTGAGATGAAATAACCACTAGCTTTCCAGAGGAGCCAGCATTTAGGCCGGAGAGCATTCCTGGAGATTAATGTGACTGCTGGTAGATGGCATATGGGTGATGATAAGGATCTGTTAATTTTTAAGTATATGTCTATGGCCAAACATTGGTCTCTGTAGCCATGCACTGGAAGACAGGAAAGGAGCTTACTTTTTTTGACTGGCAGCTACTTTGCGCCAAAACAGCCTCCTGTTTCATTACCGTCTGCTTTTTCCTGTCTTCACGTGGCCTGACACATTTTGCGTGTCCTATTGTCAGGCTGTAGCTTACTGCACTTCTAAAAGGCTGGGTGGAACAGAGTTTTGACCTGATTAAGGCCACTGCATTCAGCTGCTGTATACAAAGTGAGGATGATGGTAATTGCTAATAAATATAATTAAATTCTCTCTGTAAACAGATGATCTCTCCTCCTGGCACTCTGATATCAGAGTCTCGTACTCCCTGCAGTTTACCAAACCAAGCGTTACAGCACCTGGCCAACTAATTTTATGTTAAGCTACAGTGGACTTTAGCTTCAAAGGAATGTCCCCAGTATTCTTGATTAATTGAAGAAGCTACCCTGCTGTTTAAAAGAGGCTTTGGATAAAATGTTGACCCTCTCCCAAGCTCACTGTGCTGGCACAGGCAAGACTATCTCCTCTTTACACAGGGGTTGATTCTATAGGTGCTGTTTCTTCTGTTCAAGAGCAGGAAGAGCATTGCCAAGTCCACTGCTGTTACGTGCAGTTTGGCAGGTACACAGTTTGCCCTTCCTTGTGCACATTGTTCAGGGATGTGCTCCACACAGCTTTTACGACCTTGCTCTTCTCTGTCTCTTGGGCCCTGCCTTGAAGCTGCTTTGCCCCAACAAAAGCAGCTTAAAGGCAGGTTTGATTGATACGCCAGTCTCCTCTACTGGTAAGTGTTAAGGTTGTGTACACAAAATAAACAGCTGTTTCCAAGAAGTAAGGCAGCATTGTCGTTTGTCTTTTATTGGACTTTGAAGGAAGAGCAAAGTCATCATTTGTTTGCTTCTTTGTTTGCCATGGGAATAAGGTGACATGGTAAAAGGGAAAGAGATGGAACCAGAGGAAGGATTTTTTCTGTAACATAAGGTCCTTTGAGAAAGGAGCATTTGCTCTTTTACAGGTGGTGCTGATTTAGAAAACACACCTCCCTGGATGTTCAAATGGAACTTTTAGTGCAGTTATGAGTGTTTTACTGAAAAGGAGTTAGTGCTGAACTGCTTTTTTTCTGGGATCCCAAAATGGCTGGCTTTTGAGGTTGCTAAGTCTCTTCTGCCTGAGGGTTTCTCTGAGTTCAGGTGCATAACTTGGGTAAGAATGATCCTGCACTAAACTATTTAGCACTCTTTGTACAATTTACTCAAACCTGGTTTTAAAGCCTGAACTTTGTTAATGAGACATCATCACATCTCTTCTACTGAATTTTCCTTTAGATTACTCTTTTAAGGTCTCTGCAGCTTACGCTAATGTCTTAGGCTATACCACAACAGACTGGAGATTAATGTACAGTTTGTAATGTATGCTGATCTCTGACCTTCAGAAAATGAAATGCTCATGTAGATGTTGTAAGAGGGAGTCTTTTGCTGATGAAGTAACAGATGGACTTCAGACTCCCTGAACCTTTTTTTTTGTTTCCTTTTTTATTTTTATGTTGTATTCTGCATCTTGGAAGTTCCCCCTGCCTAGCCTGATTCAAGGTTAGTGTGAACTAGAGAGAAGAGGGAAAATACAAGAAGGAGCTAGCAAGTAAATTTCCTGTGATCCTCGTTCTTGCAGGCTGTACAGTTTCTTGAGTGATGCCTTAGGTGTAGCTGGTTGCCCAGGATGTTGCTGAGGTTGCCGTTGGGGCAAAATCCCTGGTGTGTCCTGAGCAGCTAACCCACCTCTTTTAAGTGACCACTCTTGGGGGCAGCAAGAGAGAAAGCGAATTAGGTACCTCCAGTCTGAGCAGCTAAACCATTTTCTGCCATTCCTTTGTGTAGCAAAGGAGATTCCTCAAAAGAAAGTTGCCAGCCTCCTCCAGGCAGGAAGGTATCCTTTAGCATCCTTAGCACAGTCCTCTGTGCCAGGGGAAGGTGAGGGGAACGGCTTTCACAAAGTGGCTCAGCTTGTGTGCTCTCCTTAAGTGGTATCTTCTTTTGCTGGTGTTGGAGAACCAGAGACTGGGCTACATGGGCTGTTTGTCTGGCCCGCGAGAGAACTTTTTTATTCTTAGTCCTGATTAAAGAGTCCACCTTAAGGAACAGTCACCAAGGAGATTTTACAGGGTAAAAGAGGAAGAGAGAGTAGTGTGCCTGCATGGCTGAATTCCAGAACAGTACAAGAAAAGTATCCTGGTACCGCTGGCTTCCTGATGACCAGGCCATAGTGCCTGCCAGAGGTGATTACTTAAGTGTAGTCTGAATAGAAATCATTAAGGAGATGGGACTTGCCTGCTCTCTGTACACAGATTTCACCAAGAGACTACCAGGTTTTACTTACAGATTTCTTTACTGTCTTGTCACAGTCAGCTGTAATAATTTTTAAACTAATGAACCAAGGCCTCTATGCTTACTACAATAAGGAAAGGAGACAATGTTCCCAGGCTCCTGAAATGCACCAAAATAGGGTAAAACAAAACCTGTCCAGCAAGGCTGATGGTAGTGCTGAGACCCTTGGTATGTGTCACCTAAAAAAAAAATCAGAGACCAAAGAAGAGTCTCACAGGCTGAGTAACTGAGATTAATAGGAAGAAGAAGGCGGCAGCCAGAGACAGCAGTTGGACTATATTCCTGAGTCATATAAGTTTATTTTTGTTCGCCAACCATTTAGTTGTAACAAAGTATCAAGTGACTTCTGCCCAGGTGAAGTGTCCTGCCTCGTGTTGCTTCGAAAGTTCCTGACTATGTGGGAGCGGCAAAAAAATACCCAGTAATCAATGCTCAAGTCAATAGGCCCTGTGTAAATCTGCCTTTGGAACAGCAAGGTGTGCTGTCACACACAGCAACAGTAGAAGCTAAGAAGTAAGCCCAGTGTCTTTGTGGCTTTTGACACGTTGTTCTTGTTTGCAGTTGACTTCTCTTTGCAGTTTTTGTAGCTGTTCACAATAGTTTATTCTGAAAGAGGCAGAGTAGGGAATCACCATCTTGTCACCACCAGTGTTGTGTAGGAGCCTGGGGTCAGAGGAATGATTGCACAAAAGACCTCTGCAGTGCACAGTGTGATCTAACGTGTCTGTGAGTCACAGCACTTAGTAAACTCAAAGCATTTGAACCTGCCAGTTCTTTTACAGGTATTTCATCAGACAACAGGGCCAAAAGCTTGTTTTCCAAAATGACTGTTGGATCTTTCAAGTCTTGTGCTTGCACTCTGAATGGTGAGCACAGATGGGTGGTATACCTGAGCCCAAGAGCAGCAACTGCTTTGTGGGTGCTCCCAACAGTAAATTTGAATGAGAATAAATCAGTAATATCAATGACAGTGTGAGCTGGAAACAATAAATGTAAGCATAATTATGAATAACAACTGCAAACAATGCCCAATTCAATATCTAGATCATCCTGTTTCATAATATGTAGAAAAATAGCACTGGAGCTTTCAATACAAGGCACAAAAATGAAAACAGAAGTTTTATGTACTAAATATGCATGGAACATATTTCAATTTTGATGTGAAGACTCCTAGTAACTAATAGCACTTCCTTGATTTGTGAAAACAATTTTAGGTACCTTTCAAGCTGCTACAATCTGCTTTCTTCTTAAAAATTCAGCACAAAATAAAGGCTTTCCTGTCAGTTATGTCAGGCAAGAATCCATATTAGAACAATGTAATGGCTGTTCTGGAAAGAAAAGAGATTCCGTTGGCAGATCTTATTGCTTCATGTGTCTGACGGCAACCGATAAGAGAAGTAATTCTTTAGCAGTTGTTGACTATTACAACTTGTTCTATTTCCTCTGTCTCATCCAAAATGAAAATGTTGAAAAATAGCAGTTGAAGTGGTTAACATCAAAGTCTACCTATTGAAATATGTACATGTCTGTAGATTCATCAAAAAACGTGCCTGGTTTTGGTCCTTTATAATCCTTGATGAATCAAACCTTGCAGCATCAATGAATTAGGGAAAGCTAGTCCTTAATTTACAGGGGAGAGAGCTGAAGCCAAAAGGAAGTTTTGGCACACCTGGAACCAGAACACAAAACTCTAGATTGTCTGCAAGAGTGCCCTTTTTCTAAGTGTATGGAGATTTTTTTGCTAGTTTAGTTTTCTGTGCTTACGTTTATTTTATATCTTACAATGCAGTAGATAACAGGATGTTTTCTGGTGTGTTTTGCAGAGTTTCTGGAGGAGAACTTTTTGACTTCCTGGCACAGAAGGAGTCTTTGAGTGAAGAGGAAGCAACCAGATTCATCAAGCAGATTTTGGATGGTGTGAATTACCTTCACTCTAGGAAAATTGCTCACTTTGATTTAAAGGTAAAGATGCTGATTTAGACTTACTGTTATTGATGGTTTATAATGATGGACTGTACCTTCTACAATTTGTTAGATATCTGTATTTGATAACATGCCTAAACTAATAGGTAAGACCATTTTAAATGCACTTCACAGCTGAGTGCTCCAAGGAAGACTATCTCCTTTATCAGGCCTGTGGTAACTTTTGGATGGGCTTATGTATTTACTGACCGAGAAAAAGAAATTGTAAGTCTTCATCCTTCAGCTGTTTGCATTTGTGTTATCATCCAAAGCATGCTGTTTAAAAAAAAAAAAAAAATTAGAATGATGTACAGAAGAAATGCATTTTTGGGAAGAGGAGGGCCAGGTCCAGCTGCAAACAACAGTTGCTGCTTCCATTCCCCACTGTGTTTAGAATTACATGAGAAGTATGTGTCATCCAGTGCAGTTTGGTTAACAGAAAGAATTCTTGCTTTCTTAGCTGCTTAGGGCCTTGAAAGCACATCACACAGAGCTCTCTTCCTACTGCATCAGGTGACATCTATAGCTTTGGTCCTTGACTTTGGTATCAGTACAACTGGCGTAGACAATACAGAAGAGGCTGTCTGTCTCTCTCTCCTTTTGATTGTGGCCTAGCTAGGTGAACATGCCTCTCTGAAGCTAGGAGTCTGTTGTCCTTGGGAATGAAACTCTTGAGACTAGAAGAAAGTGCATCTCAGTAGCAGACTTACAGCTACAGAACTGGCTGCCTCAAACATTGCTGCTTCCAGAAATACGTGCAAAATGCACTTATTCCCTAGGAGAAAGTAGAATTAAACAGAGGAGGGAACTATTTTAAAATGCAGGAAAAATGTACTGCTAGATTACACGTTCCTTTTCTTAACTTTAAATCCAGGTTAGTTTATTACTAATTACTAATTATGTGTGTGCTATAGATAGACTCCTCCCAGATTCTCAGGATATATATGATGATTCCTTGTGCTAAATATGTGCCTAATGCTGTCTCTGACTTGAATTGCTTGGTCTTGAGTCAGAGTTAATGGCATATATGTAGTTGTTGCAAATGTTGCAAATCACATCTAACCTAACAAACTGGCTAGGAAACTACTGTCCAAACCTTCATGGGGTGCATGTGAAAAAGCGTAGGAGATGTGTGAACGTATAAAGGATGTGCACTTGATTTTTAAATTGCTACAGAACTCCAGAAGCCAAAGACTGAAAGTTTTCACTGTGTATTAGAAATGTGTAATATCCAGTGGCGTGAAATTATTGTGAGAATATAGGTGCAACTTTTTCTATACTGATCTCTAGCTACTAATCTTGATATTTAATACCAGTAATGTCAGGTGGTCAATGAAGATGTTACAAGAAATGCAAGATAGAAATCAGAAAGGATAAGTAAAGAATCGTTTCACTGATAGTGAATATCAAATGACCTAAAACATATTCACAGAATAACTCTCCTGGGTTTTATAGGACTGGGTTTGGAGTTTTGCTGGTGTTAAATTAGACATGTATTTTTAAGCAGTGATCTGATTAGATAGAGGATGATTCATAATTATCTCGTCACTTGACAGGGCTCCATCGACTGCAGTGGAGCTACAGTGACTTATACCACCTAAGGAATAAAACAGTTCAAGAGGTAGTGACTGTGACTTTTTGCCATTTCAGTCTGTTCTGTCTGCTCTAAACAAGCTTACATCATGTATCTGGGGTGAACACATATGCCCTAGATCCATTGAAGAAAACGAGACTTGTTAGCCTGAGGCTAAAATATTCTTGGTCCAATGACTATGACAATAAATTATTCATATGCTCTCTTACCCAGTGTTGCTCTGAGTGAGAGTGTGTGTTAGCAGGAGCTGCTTCCACGTTAGGATCTGCTGTGAAAAGGCCAGGCAGCTGCCAGCGGGGAATCAAACTGCCTCGCTGTTGCTCTTGAGCTTATGATTAAGTTATGACAAATTAATGCATAAAGGTCTTCATGGGAGATAAATTGAACCCATAGTTTACTCTGAAACTTGTGAAATAGGGCCATGGTAGGGAGTAACTAAGGCTGAGAAATTTCGTTGAAGAAATAAGTTTATGAAATATCCGTTATATCTGGTAATGAAAGTCACAGTCTGTAGTTGAAAAAAATAGCTTTAATTTCACAGTTCTAGCTTTGGCTTTTCCCTACAATGCTGTGAGAAATGCTACATGCTCTTTTAATAGCTTGCTGTCATATATGAGCTAGGACTTCTGATCCCAACTCTTTCAATTTTCTGCACTGTTCAGATAGTAAATCCTAGATCTTTCCTGACCTTGTTGTGGCAGCTGTCCTACAATGCTGTGAGAAATGCTACATGCTCTTTTAATAGCTTGCTGTCATATATGAGCTAGGACTTCTGATCCCAACTCTTTCAATTTTCTGCACTGTTCAGATAGTAAATCCTAGATCTTTCCTGACCTTGTTGTGGCAGCTGTGAATTTAGTCTTATAGAGAAGAGCATTTGCCTTCCTTAGGTAGGTTCAGATGTGACTAGAATTCCTCAAGAAGCCTTTAATAAGACATCTTCCAGTGGGTTACAATACAGCATAGGGACAGCTGAGCAGAAATAGTGAAGTTTCCCAGTGTAAATTCCAAGAACAGATCAGTAAAATTGTCAGTCGAAATATTCAGTGGTGCAGTTCTCCTCAGGATCAAGCAATGGCACTCTGTCTCTGCACCAGGTGTCTGCACGCTTCAGCTACCTGCTAGCTGCTGTTACGTGTGCACCAGTTGTTGTAACTGAGGCAGATCCATGGGGTCAGGGTGTGACATCTTCCCAGGAGGCACTGCGGACCAGGGATATATTTTCTGTTTTAAGAGGGGCAAGATAAACTGAGCTTCCGCTTCGTGTTTTATCACAATGCTGCTGGGCCGATAATCTAGTGGCATATCTTGTCAGATTAGGGAACTACATACAGTTATATTAAAAACTTCTGTCTCATTGTGAAAACAAGGATATCTTGTTTTGATCCTGGCAATAGCTATCATTAAGAAAATAAGCTTAGGAGTGCTAACAGGAAGATAGGGAAAGGCAGATTTTGCATGAAAGAAAATTAAAGGAATGAAAGCATTACTCTTATTAGATTTGCTTTGCTTTTATGAAGTTCTGGTCCATTCAATGATGTCAAATTTCAGTTGTCATCCCTTTCTCAAAAGAATGAATTGTAAATGTTCAGGCACAGGTATGGGTTTTTTGTTCTACAGTGTTGTATATGTGAAGAAAAAAAAGCACTTGAGAACTCTGTTACTTGCTCAAGATATTAATATTCTAATAACAAAGATCTATCTCTTGTTATTTTTAGCCTGAAAACATTATGCTTCTAGACAAGAATATCCCTATTCCACACATCAAACTCATTGACTTCGGCCTGGCTCACAAAATAGAAGATGGAGTTGAATTTAAAAATATTTTTGGAACTCCAGAATTTGTAGGTGAGCAAGTGACCCGTTCTTTGTCTTGTGTTGCAAATTCCATGAGAAAGTTGAGACGTCTTTTCAAAGTTAAGAAGTGAGGGACAGAGGTAGTTTCAGTCTCATTTGTATCAAGGTGACCTAAATCTAGAGGTTTACTTTGTTCTTCTGGAATAGCCGAAAGGTGCTTTCTATAAACCAGATGTGCTTCTCCTGTGAGAGTAAGTTGCTGCCAAATAAATATTTAGAGACGTAAATTCAGGATTGAGATTGTGAAACCCTGGAAACACAAATTATAATTTTTTACTTGTTGCCTGGGGCAGGTAAGCTCTCTGCGTTGTACAAGGGTACACAATTATGTGGGTATCTCTTATCATTGCTTTCTAGATAAAACCGCCTCACACTGTACACGTGTTGAGTACAAAACCTTCACCTCCCCTTACATTTTTCCACCTGATCCTCTTTTTGTTGCTCACTCATGATAATTCTAATCTGTCTTGCTTGGATTTTACGTTAATCCTACTCCTTTCCACTAGTTTCAATTAGAGGTTTTGGCATTGGTTTTGGGGGTTGGGGGATGGGGAGAGAATTGTAATTCATATTCCAGTTAAACACAACTGTTATAGACACCTTTTTTCATCTCATTACCTCACCTTGGTCTTTTCTATTGCATGCAGTCTTATATGGGGATGTTTTCCAACAAGAAGATGTTTCTTATAAAGATAATAGGGTTTGACATGGATAGCAATGTAGTCTGGCAGGTAATTTCAGTCTCTTGCCTGAGGGCTTTTTCTGACTGGCTGTTAGAAACTAGCTTTAATGGCACCAGTTAAAAACAAAACAAAAGCTCAGATTCTTAAGGGTAACAGTATCCTTGGAAGGTGAAATAATTTGTTATTTGTTATGATTTGCACTGTAATTAGTACATAATATTTGCTTCACCCTTATTCACAAGTTGCATTATGCTCCAAGTTACTCTACATAATCTCTTCTGGACACCTGTGAACTTGAATTTCTATCAGGGCTGTAAAACTATAAACAGTGCATCCTATAACTGCCTTTCCTTTTCCCACCCCCCCCTTTCTCCTTCTTGGTAATTCTTGACCTGCTACTCAATTCAGCCTGGTAAAAATGTGTTACCTCAGTTGCTGATGTTTGATTAAATTTTTCTTACAGCTCCAGAAATAGTAAACTATGAACCGCTTGGACTAGCAGCAGATATGTGGTAAGTTTTTAACATTTTTTTTTTTCCAGGTTGCTCTACTATTACTTTTTCCCAATTTGCTCTGAATAGAATCCATGCTACTGGAACAAATTAAAACCAAAACAAACCAAAAGACTTAAGTGCAGTTAATAACTCTGTGTTCTGTCTTTCCATTTTTATGTATTCTTTTTAATTAAAAGATAAGCATTTAATTTCTGCAAAATTACCATGAAAAACTTTAATGATGGCAGTTACAGAGTTAGCAGTTTGCCACTGTCCACTGCAGAGGAGCACTCTTAAAAGAAAACATGTTCCTGCAGTGCTTGTGACACCTTTATTTATAAGAGCACTGCATGCAGAGGAGACCTGCGTACTAATCTGATCTGCTGAGAAGGCAGGCAAAAGAGGTCACCCCAGATAAAACATCCTTGCTTCTATTTCTTTGTATGTCTGATGTGTACTGTAGTAAATATCTGCCCGAGTAGAAATACATAAAGAGACTTCAAATATCCACATTACTTGAAGTTATATGTAAAATTCACGTTTTCCCTGGAACACCATTCTTTAAAAGAGATATTAGCAGTTATCTAAAGCCATGATGGCTCTCCTGCCTGTATAGCAGCTACTATTGACTTTTTCATATTGTGTACATTAAGAAGAATACAGGTCATGTACAACTCCTGCAATTAATCTCCTTTGTTTTTTAGGAGCATAGGAGTCATCACCTACATACTGTGAGTACAATAGTTTCACTCCTGTAGAAGTGTTCCTAAAGCTCTATTGCACTAGTACAAAACAGCTCTTCCCTTTAGTCGTTTAAGAAAGGAGCTGCACACATGGGGTGGGCAGTGGTTTGTCTAACAGGCAAATATTATCATGCAGCCTTTTTAAGTTTGAAATAAGGGGTAAAAGAAGAGGGGCATTCTGAGCAGATGAAGAGCAAATGTCTCTAGCATCGCTGGGCATTTCTGCTTCTTATGGGACCTCATCAGCTCCAAATGGTAAAGGATGGAAAAGCTCGAGTGTATTGGTTGCTCATAGAATGACTATGAGCTACCAGTGTGTGGAGAGAATAGAAACAGAAAGTGTAATAGTACCATTTACAAGGTGAGTTATTTCAGGTGAAAACAGAGAAGATTTAATTTGCTTGTAAAGGCAGCAGTCTAGATTACTGTGCATAAATATGATCACCCATATTCAAAAAGATTAATTTAAGCTGGGATCAGAGCAGAGAAGTTGACCCTGGGAACTAAGAATTCTTCTTAAAGGAGAAAAAAGGGCTTGTTAAAGCTAGTAAAGCAAAGGCTGGTTGGTAATATAATTGCAGTCAGTAAGCACAAGGGGGAAAAAAGACACTTTTTAGAAGAAAAGTGTGTCAACTGGTGATGAATAAACAAAACTGGGAAATTATGACAAGCTCAAACTCTCAAAGAAATGAGGTTCCGTGGGCATACTGGGGACAAGCAGTCAGGAGATTTTTAAGACGGAGCTTGACAATTTGTGAAACTGCTTGTGTGACAATGGATGCATGCAATGGAGGGACAGCACTCATTGCTTCAAGAATTCTTTCCTCTGGTTTGATATGAGAATTACAGAAGTGGTCAGAGATCCTTGGACCTAACTGCTTCCATTGAAATCAAGCTCCTGTGACTGCTGGGGCACAGTGCATGGTGGATAGTGTATGCTTGGAAATGTCTCACCCTAACATTCCTACCCTGGGCTTCTGCTGTTCCTTATGACACTTCAGAGGATTAACTTGCTGCCAAACTTAAAGAAGGTGCACTGTAGTGTTAGAGGGATTTGCACAGCACAGCTCAGGGCTCAGTACAAGTATGAAGGCTTGAAGGGGAGGGTTTGTCTTTTCAGTGTGGAAAATAAATGTTGTGGAATTAAATCCACTCTTGGGCTATACCCAAGGCTTAGACCCCAAAAGCTGTAAAAGAGCTATGGTCTGAGAAATCAGATTCAGTGCAACAAATGCCCTTCTGTCCTGTGGTGCAGAAAAAGGTAGGGATACTGGTTGAGCCCAAACTCAGGTAAAGGAGTCTAAAATGTTGTCCAGATCCTTGCTTTTTTTTAGCACTCTGGTCTTCAGTGACACGTGTACTTGACAGGACATTAAACTTTGTAAATTGCCATTTATGTGTGTTCATAAATGATGAGAGGAAAAGTTAGGAGTTGAAGATAAACAGGTGGGAATACTTACCATGTGATTACAGTGATGCATAGACAGCGAGGTGCTCTCGAGGTTTTTCTGTTGCATTAAGAGTTCTGTCCTGGGGGCAGAATAATGAAGCCAGTTTCTGTACTGTATCCAGTGTAGGAGATCTGTTTTACCTGGTTGGCTTGTAATGATTGCCATAGGAATTAAGGTTGAAAATTGTCTCCCTACAAATGATCAGAAAAAAAGAGCATGCTTTTTACGATAGGAGTGGTCAGCTGGTGTGATATTCTATGTACTAGAAATTTGTATGCCTTTAACTAGTATTGCCTGTTAATTTTAAAGCCTTTTTGTTCTGAAGAATTCTGAATAAGTGGGGTGTGTTTAATGATACCACCTGCTTAAGCAAACAGGGCAGCAATCAAATGGATGCCATCATCAGATGTAGAGATCAAAATGCCTACAGGTCCTTAATTCAGTAAGCAGTGGAGTGATTCACTGGGTTGTAAGAGCGAAGCAAAGGTCTGCTGTTAGATGTTTACAGGCACTGAGTCAGGATATGACAAAAGTCATTTGCATTAGGTGTTAGGATTTGAGAATCCTCCCATTTCACAGACCTCAAAACTGAGTCCCAAAGAGGAAAAAAAAAATGCAGAGGAGAATAGAGCACTGTTGGCTTTGGCTTCCGGTGAAGGGCCAGAAGGTAGAATTACAGCTGCTTCATGGCACAGTTTTGGGAAAAGGAAAAGAAACCCAGGCTTTAGGGCAGGTTTCCAAGCTTTAGTTTTGGAACAATGCCCGTGGTCTGTGGTGAGGTGCCTGCTTCTGTTAGCCTTCTTTGTGGCTAACAGAAGTGGAACAAAAGCTTAAGAAGAGGGAGTATGTAAAACCTGTTAAGAAGTGAGATTGACTGTGGCTTATGGGGTGAAATTTACTGCATCAAAGACAACTGGAGGACCTCACTCATGCTGCCTTGCTGTGTCAGCTGCTTTGGTGTCATTGTGTTATTGTAGAGGGAGAGGAAACGCTTTATGCACTCAAATGTGTATTCTGTGGATAAAACCACATGTGGTATTTGGGGACTGGGCTGAATGGCCCAGGTGGTCCCATCTAACTTTTTGCTTACCCCTGAATTCCCAGTCAACATGGTAGTGGCAAGACAGACAGGGTAAAAGGTTTATTGAGCGGGATCATGTAAGCAAGGAATTTAGTATTCAAAACCTCCATTTAGATCCCAGGAGCTTGCTGCAGTCCTGTTCTGAGCCTGCTGCATCCTGAAACTATGCTATGAAAGCTAGATATAATAGATAAGCATAGTAATCGCACAGAATATTTTAAAAAAGGGATGAGATCAATTTCCTTGGTATAAATAACATTTCCCGTAAACCAGACTTTTGCAAGTCAGCATCTGTGTGGATTGGAGAGGGAGGAAGGGGAGGGGAAGGAAGGCAGGGCAGGAGGAGCCTGCACTAAATCTGTTCTGACACCTGAGTTTTATGGAGCAGAGGTAAATGGTCATCAAAGATGAAGGTCATCAGTCACAGTTGAGAGAGAGGCAAAGCAGGATGAAAGCTTTTTCTGTCTAAGTAAAGATTGTTGAATAACATTTTATTATGATGATGTCTCCATTATATCCTTGCAGTTGGAGCAGAGTGCCAACAGAATTAAATTTTGCATTGTTCAGAAGCAGTTGAATTTTATTGCAGCTGAAGTCCTTTTGTTTGTGGATTCATTTTAATGAGCAGCGTGGCCCTACCTCTCCGGCACAGTTGGCCCCTAGGCAAGGCCAGGCACCTGACTGCCGATCACATATGGTGTTTTGGTTCCAGCTGAGAAAGGTCTCTTGGCTGAACCCACTGTGCAGGGAACTTGTCAGTAGCTTTGCGGAAAGAAAAGCAGTAGGGGCAGGGCTTTTCCTACCCGAAGAATATCTATAGAAACACTATCTGCTTGATGGCGATAGAAGCTTCTGCCTGGTAGTGTTTGTGGGTTCACAGAGATAGAGACTCTCTTCAGCTGAAGATTTTTCTAGTTTGATTAGCAATGACTTCAATGAGACACTTAGGAAAGGAGAATCTGTGCATTTCTATCTGCGTGCACATATTAGTGCTGCACAAGAGACTTTCAAGATGAGTCTGACTCATAACCACAGGTGTAGTGAGCCAAAGCTGGACCTGTTATTTCCCATGTGGCATGGCTGCTACAACATGAGATCCACAAATGTCCTAAGAGTATATTACACAGTTACTGTAATTTCATTAGGGGACCTCTGCTGTTTATTTTTCCAATTGATTCTTCTTTCTGGTTTATCTAGGCTTAGTGGTGCATCACCTTTCCTTGGAGAAACTAAACAAGAAACGCTTGCCAACATCACAGCTGTGAATTATGAATTTGATGAAGAATTTTTCAGCAATACCAGTGACCTGGCAAAAGATTTTATTCAGAAACTCCTGGTGAAAGATACACGGTAAGTAAAAATTGAGGAAGATCCATTTGTCTCTAAGATAAACTGGTGAAATGTAGCCTGACGAGTAATCTGCAAAGCTTTCCCTGCAGTGTGTATTGCCATTCAAGAGCCAGACAGGAGGCAAAGTTCTGCTGCTGTGCTCCTAGTTAATCACTGCACCCAGAAGCCCTAACAAAAGGAACCAAAATCTCCTCAGTTAAATTTCACTTTCAAGACTGAATTCTCACTTAAGTGAAGATGGTACAGCAAGGTGCAGGTGAAGGGCTGAAAATGGTGTGCAAAATCACTAGTTCTGGGTAACTACCACGCCAATATTTCTGTCTATTATGAACTACTTGCAAGGAGGAGATGTGATCCCAGAATATGCTCCCAGTGGTGCAAGGGCAGAAAAATCTTCACATGTGCTTCTAGTGGAATTGTCCCTTAAGTCTCTCTGCATCTGTGACAATCACCTAGAATTTGCGTGACAGCTCTGCAGATCTTTATTCCTAGTGCATTGGAACCACAGACTTTTTTTTCCCTTTTCTTGCTTTTAGTAGCGTGCACACAGAAGGAGCATCCCCTTCCCCATAACACTATTTGTCCTGGAGGAAAGTCAGGCTATTGCAGTTCTTTCTAATGGCTTCATTAGGGGAGAAAATAGGTATTAGAGAGCAAGAGGCAAGGTGTTCGGTCAAGATTTCTGCAAATCCCCAGGCCTTAGAATAGGTTAGAGTAGGTGGGGTTTGACGAGAGGTTTGCACAGGTCTAGCAACCTCTTTTTAAGAAAGGACAAGTCAGTGATACAGATATTTGTCCCATGTACAGAGGTAGTCCCTGTGCAATGCTGTGTTTCTACCTTTGATTCTCAGTGCTCTTAATGTGCTGTTCACCAAGCTGCCACAATGCAGAAAGAAGTTAGGATTGATCAGGTTTGATTAGGTTTGAAGTATTCCTCTCGGAAATGTTGCTTTCAGGAAGTGGCAGCTCCTGCAGTGATGTAATATTGTGTTCCAAAGGACGGTTTTGATATAATTCATGTTGTATACCTTGATTCAGACACAGTCGTATTAAAGGTGTATAAAAAGGATTTTTTTTTTTTTAAGCATGTAGGATGAACAAAACAAAGTAATGTTTTATCGCTTTTTATGGAAGGGTACACAAAAATACAGGTAGATTTTGATCAAGTAAGAATTCAAATTCTGTGGAGGGAGGTCAGCTCCTTACTGAAACAGAACAGGTACTAAACTACACATAAGCAGTATGCCTCGTGGAGAAACAAAACCCTGAAATTTGCAAGTTAGTCATGGCATTATCTTGATAAATGTTTCATATGAAGCCTAGGAGAAGTGTGGGTCAATGGACTTGTGTACAAGGTATTTCTTATTCAAGTCTGTGGGGTTTTTTTGTGTTGTTTTTTAGGAAACGGCTTACAATTCAGGAAGCTCTGTCTCATCCATGGATAACGGTAAGACTGAATAAAGAGACAGATCTTGCTTTTTACTATGAGCAAAGCAGAGATAATATTCTCGCTCTTATTGATGTGTTAAATGGAAAACTGTCCTCTAAGTACTTAGAGACCCTAGGTGTCTTGAAGAAATGCACTGGAAAGAAATTGGTTGGGTCTGACTAAATCCTTGGATTTCTGCAAATGACTTCTTTTATTATCATAACTTTCAAAAAGAGGGGGACAAAGCTTTGATGTTTGCGCTTACAGTATCCTACATTAGACTGTGCTTTGCGTTTTTCCCTGTTTGCATGCAAATATCTACACCTTGGGTTTAGTGCTTTCTTGAGTTGAGAGTTGACTGCAGCCAATGTGGAAAATATAATTTCTCTGAAGATATAACTGCTGTACCAAGCGTGTTGATTTGTGTGTCTCTATATATTTTTTTCATCATAAACATTGCTTGCTTTTGTGGATAAGTCTCTTATTGAAAATACATTTAGCTAATCTCAGCATGACTAATGAGGATGTTTGAAATTCAGTTTTTGCTCTGCATTGCACAAAACATTAACTGGAGTGTTTTCAGGATTGTTGTTTTTCCTCTTACAAATATTGATAGCTTCGAGACTGTTAATTGCTAAAAATTAACATGAAAATAAATAGCAGTCCTGTTATTTACACTTTTCACACTGGAATGAATGCACATCACTTGTCACATTCATTTTTGCGTTTGTGTGTTTTGTTTTTTTTTTTCCTTTTAATCAAATGCATGAAGGAAAATCTGTGGGAGCAAAAAGTCTCCCAGCTTTGTGGAAGTTCGAGCTGCATCCTTTGTGTAGAGTTTTTGAATTACTGCACTGTCTTGTAAACGCTCAGTAATATTGGTTCCTCTGTCTGACGACTCACCAGCTGAAAGAAGAAACAAAAGTCCAAGAAAACAAGAAGGTTGAGAACACACAGCTGAAGACAAAACGCCTGAGAGAGTACACCATAAAGTGCCATTCGAGTATGCCTCCCAATAATACCTACATCAACTTTGAGCGCTTTGCCCGAGTGGTAGAAGACATTTCACTCATGGAACGGGGTTTCAGCACTTTGGCTGCATCCCACGATTCCTTGCAGGAGGACATTGATGCTCTGGTTTCCATTTATAATGAGAAAGAAGCTTGGTATAAAGAAGAGAATGAAAGTGTGAGGCACAAGCTGTCTCAGCTGAAGTATGAATGCCGTAAAATTGAATCCCTGAAAAGACATCTACAAGATGATATCAAGACTGTAGGCACTAGTCTTACAGGCATAACCGGGAAATATTCTGATCTGCAGAGTCAGTATGAATCTCTCAGTCAAGAACTTTCTGAGGAACTCAAGTGGATACAGGATTTAATGAGTAGCTTTCAACTGGAAAATGAAGCCTGTGTGAATGGAAACTTTGACTCTGTTTTCAACAAAGATATTAATGAATCACTAATGGATCTGTTAAATAGATCTCGCTGTGAAGAATTCCTTGCAGGGTTGAATCTTGATGTAGCAGAATCAAATCAGTAATGTTTTAAATCAGGTCAGGTGCAGGGTTCGCTGCCTGTTTCAATGTACAGCAGTTTAAAAATCTTTCAGTGCATAGATTCTACAGAAAAACATCACCTGGAACTAAAATAGAAATTCTGTTGTGTTGCATGAGATCCTGACCAAAACCATAAACTCCCAGTGGTTTGTAGTGTTCAAGTTTTTTTCCCATGTTCAGTGTCTGAACTTACAGGAACTAGATTATCACAGTGGTACAGACACATCTAACCCTATAGCCTTTTGCATTGCCTATATCATACTTCATCATGTATTACAGTTCCTGAAGATTACTAAGTAATTAACTTGGAATAAAGAGTAGGTCAGTCTGTACTTACTAGCTGGGTGCCTGATAAAAGTCTTATGATAGCGTCTTTGGTTGGATGAAGGAAACAGTCGTGTAGACCTGCTGCATGCAGGCAGTTCTATAGACCATGTGAGAGAAATATTTGCAAAGGTTAAATCTGTCCTGTAAACCAAAGTAAACGATGTAGTAATTTAACATTTAGCTAGTACTGTGGAAATTCTCTGTGAAATGGCTGCTGATGAAGAAAAGTCAAGATTATTTTTTAGGCCAGTTATGCAGGGTGAAATCTTTTACCATCAAAGGTGTTAGCTGTCGATTAATCCTTTAGTTTAAAATTCAGCTAGGTTTCCTATCCTATACCAAAGAAATCCTATTCAGAAGACACAATTGGGAGCTTGTAATGAACTGATCAAGTAACTGTGTATGTAATTTTACAGTGCAAATACTAATTTGTGAGTGATAAGTGATAACATAGACCTCTGGTTTGCTTTCTACAGTAAAGAAGATGACAAAGCTACAACTAATTTAATCTATGGTGTGGGATTTGAGACTAGTGTTCTTGCTGTGAAGATTTTTTTCTTAAGTTTTAGAAAGTAAAAGAAAAGTCGGCCCAAACTTGAATCATGCCCTGCTGTCTTGTATTTCAAAGAAGTCATTTGATTATACTGTATTAATATGCACAGATTTACCCATCTCGGTTTTTGAACACAATAAATAGTTATTTATGTAGAAGGCAATTGTTCCTTGATGGTGTAGTTAGTGACTGAAAAAGAGATGTCAGGCTTCTGTGTACTGAAGAGAGTTGGCAGCCTAGGTTCTGCAGCTAGTTTACAGCCTCTTTGCTTAGCTGTATGAATTTGCTGCAAGGTGACTGTTACGCAGCCACAAGAATCAGTGAGATAGTAGCCAGGCATCCCTGCATCACTGCTCAAGTCCATCTAGAGTGGATCTTTTTATATATATTAGAGTATGTCTTTCACTGCCCAGCCTCTCTCCTCCTTTTCCAGAGAAGTTAATGACCTAACTAAATTGAACCGTTGCTGTTCATAACATTATTAAGAATAATGTTTCCTACTTTGAGATAAAAAGATAAAAGCCTACTTTCATCCAATTTGTGTAGATTACAGTGGACCTATCACTGCCATGTCCTCATAAAGACATGCAGAGGCTGGTGAAAATTCAGAGTTCTGAAAACAGTTATTCAGTAGGGGTATTGTTACTTCTGTTGTTGTACTCGGTGGAGGATGGAAACTGGATGTGTTCTCTGTGGCATCTTTCTTTGCACAAGATGTAAAATTTTCAAAAGCTTCAAAGTAGTGTAGATAGCCAGGAGATGTCCCTAGCAAGCTGGTGTTGATGGTTGGGGAGAATTGGGCTCCACTGTGACAAACAGGCTTGAGAATTTTACTTATGTCCATTTTTTATTCTCTCAGAATGCTTCAGTCATTACTTCTGCAGGTTCCTTTGAGCTGGAAGACGCACGAGATACTGTCCAGGGGAACTGGAACACAGGATTTTTTATGAGGGAGAGAGTTTTAATTCTTAAAAAGTAACTTAAAGCTTAGTGAGAGTTAATACCTGCAGAAAAGACGCTCAAGAAAGAGTCTGCCTTTCTTCAGCCATAATCTCATATTCTCTGTTCATGTAGATTTTCTTTATGAACAAATGCACTGGCACCATGAGAAGGAACATTAAATGAGGCCACTCTGTTCCTGAGCGTGTTTGGGTGAGGTTAATATTGTTGTGGCTCAGTCCTTGAGTTTAGTGCTTTCTGAGCTGAAGGAGGTCACTGACATACTGCTTTTGAGAAAATATTCTGATGATTGAGAAAATGACAAGGTCACTGGTTTGCAGGCTACTTAGAAATTGAGAGGCAGTTATTAAGAGTCTGGAATACTGTAAAGTGAGCTATCTTGATTCAGAGATGGTTCTACTGCCAAAAGGGCACTCAGAAATTTTTCTTGATGATTGTACAGCTGGCATTTAGCCAGTGACATTTTTTTCCACTTCAAAATGATTTCTACTCAGTGTTTTGTTGCACCATGCTAGCCATTTGTAGCATGAGGAAATGATACTTAATTCTTAAATGTCCCAGTTCTGTTGTATGCAAATGGTGTGTACATCTAAATGAGAAAGAGGCCTAGCTGATAGCTCCTTGAATTACTGCTGAGATACCTGCACAAATGCTATACCTGTAGCATTTGATGAGAAAAGTGAATTTGTTGTCTCATAAACATTATCAATTGTTTTGCCAAAAAAAAGTGTTTAAATCCTCACTGATGTGTTTTCCGCTCTCCTTTGGGACTCTTCCTTCTTCAAGTGTCTGGCTTGGTTGCATTCCAGTCCAGTTCAGTATAAATATTTCTGGGTTATCCATCTCCTACATATGCAGATCAGAACTGCTGGAATTGTTGTCATTTCATAAACTCTATAATCTTTAAAGGGTTGATTCCTGCCCTTTGTCTTTTCACTTTTACCAGGTCTGATTTTGAACTTTTTTTCCCCTCAATCTGTCAGATACAGTTTTCTGGTCTATGCAAATTTTGATGTGGTTTTGGAGTTGAAAGGTGCTTCATTTTCAGAAGGACTGTATCAGGGTTTGCAGAACATCTGTTCCTTAACACAAGATTGGCATCCAAAAATTTTAGGCACATGTCTGAATTCTGATATTTTTTTTTTTTCTTCCTATTTTTCCATAGTCAGGTGTTGCAATTCTTTCCTCATATGTTTATTTCCAGGGTATCAATGTCCTGTGCTGTCATACTCTGGGTATGGTTAAAGGACAAAGCCTGAGTTTTTTTCCAATATGCTGTAGCATGTATCCTCATCACTAATACTAAATGACAGCTAACTTTTTCCCATTTTATTATGGTGATGACAGCAAGACATACTGGAGTGAGTTTGATGGAATGCTGTGAAAATGATTAAGGGATTGGAGTGTCTGTCAAAGGGGGAGAGGCCGAGAGAGCTGGGATTGTTTAGTGTCAAAAAGAGAAGGGGGCGATCTTCTCAATCTGTATAAATATGTGGTGGAACAGAGTAAAGAAAACAGAGCCAGGCTCTCCTCAGTGGTATCCAGTGACAGAACAAGAGGCAATGGGCACAAATTGAAATTAAGAAATTCCATTTAAACATGAAAAAAAGCAAACAAACTTGTTTACTAAAGGAGCAGTCCGACACGGGAACATGTTGCCCAGACGGGCTGTGGAGTCTCCATCCTTTGAAACCCAAGTGGGACGTGGTCCTGGGCAAGCTGCACTAGCTGACCCTGCCCTGAGCAGGGGTTGGACTAGATGATCTCCAGAGGCCCCTTCCAAACTCAACTGTTCTGTGATTCCTGGTGAGTCCAGTGTTGACCAAAGCTGGTCGTGGATTTAGTTTTCTTGGGCCACCTTCTAATTTTACTTGGGATCTGTCAGTCTCAGGCTAATTGCAGAAGATTACTCATAGTGGCAGGTTACCTGAGCCTTCCTGAGATTTTGATAAGCAGACAGAGTTATATTGACCAGCTTTGTGAGGCACAGGAGGAGGGCTACTCTCTGGTACCAGTTTAATATTTGGGTTGTAGAGTACAGCTAGCGCTCTCTGAAGTTATTCCATATTTCACATTCACGTGAATTTACATGTTCTTCATCTTCAGATCTGGAATGACTGCCTCAGACTTACCTATGATGTTTAAATCAGCCTGGTAAAAGAAAAATCTGTAAAAGCACAATTCAGAAAAGATGTGCTAGAATAAAATGAAAAGCCACATGCTGGAAGTTAGGAAAGGACCCTAATGTATCTTTGGTTTAAAAATATCCTTGTAAAGGGCAAAATGTGCAAGCTTCTATCTGAAAATTTAGAAGGTATCACGGGACCTAACAGTGTGATGATGCTGTGTTTAATCCTACTCTGTCACGATTTCTAGAAAGCACGTGCAAAACCCCTGAGCAGCAGTGTGCTGCAGTGCTGTTGATGCGCTGACAACAGCTCCATCTCCTTTCTGTCAGGCGTCTGTGGAACCTTTTCATTTCTCTCCCAATGCCTTCAGAAAGAGAGACGTGAATGAAGGCCAGCTGATATGAGCTCAATCCAGAGAAAATGGAGATGGTGCAAGTGTGCACTGAGAAGCACCTTAGCAACTTTACAAAGTGAAAGCATTGCCTTAGCACCCTCTGGCATCCCATTAGTTATCTCTCTTTTTTGTTTGGCTGTCTTTCATCCTGTCCTTTGGCTAGAAAAGCTGTTCCCAGACTTTTTGTTTGGTTTTTATGTGGATCATTATGAAGCAGAAGGCAGAAGTGGAGGCTGGAGCAAAGTCTGTGCCGTGTGATACACCTTTTGTGCCAGGTTGAGTGGCTAGAAAGGGGCAGCAGTGGAACATCTCCAAACAATGTGGTGCACAGGGCCAAGCGTGACCACTGACTGTACACGAGATTTAGGATTTTGTTTGAAATCAAAGGGGTCCTGTCCAGGCACAGGGTGGACTAGATTTAATTATTTTTCTTCTGCTTTTACCTGTGTGAATCCACAGCTTCCCCAGCCCCCATTCTTTTCAGCCAGCTCCAGAGCATGTGAAGAATCTTTTGTATTTCGTGCACCAAAGGGAGCCAAGCAATAAATTTGCTCTCTTATCTTCCAGCCAGTGGACAAGCGACAGGCTTTGGTTCGGCAAGCATCTGTTGTTAACATGGAA